ATTTTATTTTTTTTTATTTTTTTTATTTTTTTTTGTGTGCACCAATGATGTGCTAATAAAATAAGTAATTAGTGATATTATGTAATGGTTGATAACTGATAAATGGTCTATCAAAATTCAGTTCTTTTTTTGTTGATAAATGTTTTAAATAAACACCAATAACGTTTTACAAGAGGCATCTGGATGACATCTGTATATACACACATTGAAAGTGGGTACTTATTTATTTATTTAAAGGGATAGGTCACCCAAAAAGTTTAATTGTGTCATCATTTACACACACTCATGTTCTTCCTAACCTGTGTTTCTTTCTTCTGTTGAATGCAAAAGAAGATAATTTGAAGAATTTTGGTAACCAAACATTTGGTGGTAGCCATTGGCTTCCATAGTATTTTTTCCATACGTCAACTGTCTGCTTGCACACATTCTTCAAAATATCTTCTTTTGTGTTCAACAGAAGAAAAAATCAAACAGGTTTGAAACAACTTGAGGGTGAATAAATGATGACAGAATTTAAATGTTTGGGTGTCTCTTATTCTCACCACGGCCTCATTTATTAAATAAAAATACAGTAAAAATGGTACTATTGTGAAATTATTACAATTTTCTGTTTTAATATATTTAAAAATGTAATGTATTCCTATGATGGCAAAGCTAAATTTTCAGAAGCCATTGCTCTTCATTGTCTCACAATCATTCAAAAATCATTCTAATATGATGATTTGGTGTTCAAAAAAACATTTCTTATCATTATCAATGTTGAAAATAGTTGTGCTACTTAATATTTCTATAGAAACTTGATGCAGTTTTTTTTCTCCAGGAATTGTATTAACAAAAAATTTCAAAAGAACAGCATTTATTTGAAATATAACTTTTTTTCTGTAAAAATGTGAAAGTCCTTACTATCACTTTTGATCAATTTAATCCATCCCAAAGAGATCTCGTTAGCCAATTCTGTATTGTGCACCCTTATTGTTTATCATATTAAAGTATTCACGATATGTGTAGCCCATGTGTTTAGTATGTATAACCCTGACATCCGTCAAAGGAGTATCATTGACATGACAGGCTACCCTGTTTCTCCCACTGAGCAAAGTATTAGCATGTGATTTCTGCCATTCATCAGGTGCTATATCCAGCCTTACTAATACTAGGATGCAGTCAGACGGATGATATAATCATTCCTAATACTTATAGATTGGCAAACCGTACGCCATGCAGAGGGGGAAATTACATGTCACAGATTGCATTGTGTGGAGCCCCTAAAGTCCCGATTGGTGCGAGACGGGCTCCATTGCAACTAATCGGATGCCTGTCTGCGTTCGAGCTCGTTAGGTTGATCGTGCCCTCATCTGCTGTCACGTTCCGTCGAGTCTACTGCCACAACTTCAGGCGAAGAGTGAGGGACAGAAAGGAGGAGAGAAAAGAGGTGAAAAGAAAGTAAGCTTCTCGGCGGCCCCCAGTGAAAATGCAAATTGAGCAAATGATCTTTAAAGTCAGAAACCGGTATTTCTGTTCTGTTTGAAGAGAGGAATGAGAGTGTCTCTCTCAGATGACACAGTCTGGACGTGAGCGAGTTTTTATGAGCCTAACTGAGGAGGTACGTACGGATGAAAGGAACGTGGCATTCAGATTTCTACCGCAGTGTGTGTTTGCTTCATAGATGCTTGAGGGAAGCTGAAAGGATGGATCGTTTTGAATGTTTTTAGAATATAAATTGAAAGTTTTTTGAATTATTGGCCAGTGAGATAAAAGATTAAATTGGCACTCTTTTTTATTAAATTGACTGTTGCATTTTAAGCCTGGCCTGTGTAGTCTATCAAAATCATTTTGAAAGTGTGGACTATCAAAATAAAGTGTTGTCAAATCTGCTTTTTTCCTCACAATGAATGTGAATGGTGATTTAGAATACCTCACATAGTCTTTGTAAGCTATTATTTATATGATGCTTTTACAGTATGAGACTTTTTGGCTGTCCCATAAATAGGGATGCAGCGATTAACCGGTTTCACAATTAACTGCACTTTAAAATGTCACGCTTAATTAATCATAAAGACTCTGCTACACCGAGTGTTTCTGTTGCATAGAACGGAACAGTTGCAACTTGCGCAAAACGAAAACAAAGTTACATTAACGGTGCACCAGCTTAAAATGCTGTGCTTATCAGATACACAGAGGCTACTACACACACTAGATTAACCATGACAGAGGAACCAAACAGCGATCCTTTATTTCCACCAGAGAAA